CCATTACGTTCCCCCCCGCCCCGACCCACCCTTGCGTCTCAAGAGGCAAAAGGGTAGGTCAATGGGGGGGGGGTACCATATATATATATATATATATGTGTGTGTGTGTGCGTGTATGTACATGCATTTCTACACAGCGAAAGTTCGTGTGCATTTGTAACCAAGTGTGTGTGTATGTATGTATATATATATATATATCTATATTATATATATATATATTTAATGCAAGTACATGTCATCTGTTGGTACCACAACATGGGCTGCACCTGCACAGAAGTGCCCGTGTGAATACCATGCGTCAACTCGCGGAAGCTGGATCGCGAAGAGTCAGCCCGATCTTGAAAGGTAAGAAGAAAGAATACGAGTTGTCGGAGTAGTCATGATACGATTTACATTAACAAGAGCAAACTTTGTACACCAAAAGGTTGTTAACAACTGGTGGTGGTACTATTTTTCCACAGTATTCATGATACGATTACTGCTGGCAAAAGCCAAAAAATTCCAAAAAAGGAGGCGAGTTCACAGTGATGATAGTAAGTAACTAGCTAGTGATACGATGGAAGCTCTTCAAGGCTGCTATCTCCGGCATCGACTGGCTCCGGTGGCAATAAGAAGCCGAAGAACAAATCTGCCAGGGCCGTGCCGTACTGCTCCGCGAAGAAGGTGGGGAGCCTGGGACAGAACCATAGCAAGTACCCTGAAAAAGTAGCAAACTGAAACCTACTCCTCTGAAGCTGTGCAGCAGCGATTGCTACTCAGCCCCGGAAGCCTGCAACCAGAAAAGGCACCAGCAAGGAGAGCTGAAATTTTCCGTTCCTCAGACCTGAATCTGGAACTCCTCCAGTCGAACTGCTGACCACCCCTAGCCCGGTCAAGCTCGCACATGCAAGGCTGAAGCAGCCATTCTGAGACAGCTCAGCCCAGGAGTGTACGACCTGCCATCTTATGGGAAACCTTTCCGCAGAAGACAAGAAGATGCAGGCAGTTCGCCAGCTGAGCAGACCGTAAAGCCCAAAGCCGTTGGTGTACCTCAAAGGAGTTTAGGGTTTAGGGTTTAGGGTTTGGGGTCAAAGCAAACTATGAAAATATGGGTTTGGACTCATGTGGGTACGGAAGGCCTTTCTTGGGAGGCTCCACGCTGGGGTTCGGGGTTTCGTCTAAGGCTAAGACATTCATCTATCTATCGATCTTTCGATCTATCGCTCTATGGATCTACCGATCTATCTATCTGTCTATGTGTCGTCTATCTATCAATCCCGAATTCGGATGTAACGCACAACGGAAATGAGCATCCCAGTTTTCGTGTTTTACTTTACGCCCGCATTCTTCGCATGATTGACTCCCCTTTGCCCTCTCTTCGCTTCGCGCTTGATTAAACTCGTTCTTGTTTCTGCCGTAACATTTTTTCGCTTCTCGGCACTTATTACACATCGTAAAACCGTCAAACTCTTCGACATCTTTAGTCGCTCAACACGATTTACATATTCTCTCCTCCACCTTCATATATATAAAAAAGGTCTAGCCTTTAGGCATGGTTAGACTGAAGCGTGAAGCGAGATTAAAGCACACCCGAAAGAAGAGAATGAAGGCATACAAGAAGGGAATAATTTGAGTGAAAAAGATTTGACATCAATGCAGATTACGGATATCATTACTGATAAAAAAAACCTCATGGAAAGAGGCGCGGAGCGCCCAAGTACGATATGTTATGAACGAATACAATGTGATTATGCCTCACTTTTAAAATGACAACTTAATTAGTTATATTAGACCATTGTGTTTGTTACTTATTTATATGAGTGAGAAGCAGAAAACCGTTCATGATGTATATTTTGATAAGGCAGGTTCTGGGAGTAACCCCAGAACACTAGCGGAAGAATGGGAGCAGGACAAAACTATAACAGTGGGAGATATTAACGAGATTTTTCGGAAAAAAGAAAGCCGGTAGGTCAAAATAGTTGTACCGCTCCTCATTCCGCATATGAATATCAGGTGGATTTGTTCTTTATACACGATATGACAGAACAAAAGTTTAGGATAGGGATGCTAATGAATGTTGCACTTGAGAAGTTTATGCACGTTCTTCCGATATAAAGAAAAAGGAAAGAGTCTTTAGTAAGTGGGACAATTGAGTGTTTAAACAAGATGGGAATGAAATCGAGGATAATTTATACAGACGACGAGCCAGCATTGAACAAGGAGGCAACACAAAAGTCTTTGAAGGATGAGAACATAGAACATCACAGAACGAGCGCACCCGAAGGCTGGTGAACGAGCCATCCGCACAAGAAAAGGTATGTTGTAGACGGGGGTTGAAAAAAAAAAACATCCAACGACCAGATTGCCTGCTAGAAACATTGCTAATCTATAAAACTCAAATGAAGCACTCGGCAACGGGATGCCCGAAAAACTAGCAAACACAACGAATCCAATTTGAAATCACATTTGACGATGGAGAGAGAGAGAGAGAGACAGAGAGAGAGAGAGAGAGAGAGAAGAACTTGAGAAGAACTTGAGAAGAACCGCGTATCTCCTGATTTAGATGTAGGAGACGAAGTGAAATTTTCGGAAGAGAAAACCGAATGAAAAGGACAAGGTGCACAACTGGTCACAGACTATTGACTATTGTTACAACTAAGTGTTGAAAACAAACTTAAGTCAAAATTATTATGGTCTTGTGTTTGCTTAAGGAGCCGGAAGCTCTGGAAGTGTTCGGGGCATGCACGGGGCGCGCAGGCCTACCTTCAATGGGTCTTAGCATGGGTCTGTTCCATGGGGTGCTTCCGATGGTTCTTCTACTGGGTTCATCCTATGCGTCTTCTGGTGTTTACATGGGTGGGTTCAAGTAAAATGGTGTCATGCGGGCTCAGGAGGTGTAGCATGGTTAGAAAATAGAAATGGTATGTGCTACCTCAAAGACCCCACACCCCTGAAGATCCCGTACGTCCCGGCTTGGGGCTTTTTCGGGGTGTGGGGTTTGGGTGTCGGGTCGGGGAATCAGCCCTGGCACTGCGCCACGCAGATAGCCAAGACTTCCTTCGTCCGCACGAGGGGGAGCAGCTCCTCCGTGGGGCTTCGTCGTTCGCGGAGAATAGGACCTTGCGAGGGTTCCTTAAAAAGGATTCCTTTGAAGGTATCTATAGACCAGGGTAGAGTTTTGGGCGATCTTGTGTAGATTCCCAGCAGTGCTCCTTCAGAGTGCCGGCGAAGCCCTCCGCGATCTTCGCAGGAGAGAAAGCCTCTGCTGAAGGAGACCTGCTCGAGGCTCTTCGGGCTCATGTGGAGACCGTTTGGTACGTTTTTTGTTGCCCATGCACAGAACATCAACCTGCTGGAGAATGACAGCCTGACATCATCAAGACTCGAGTCGTGCAATCACTCTAACTAGGGGTCTAGGGCTTCAGCGGTTTGGGGCTTTTACGGGTCTAGGGTGAATCCCGACATAGAACCCGAGCCGCAGCCTCGTCGCAGATGGACTCGCGATGTCCACGGCCAACCAAGGTGGCAGCCAGAGCAAGGCCAAGGCGCCGAAGCCGAAAAAGGACGTCTCAGCAGCATTACTCAGTTGATTGCTATTAATATTGTCATGATTGTTGTTACATTCGACATGTATCATCATTCGTGTTATCAATGTTTTTGTTGTTGAGGATTCAAGCTTCGTAAAGGAACGCTTGGTCTTTCAACCCCAGCTCTCCCGCTCCTCCCTTTGCATCCCTCCACGCCTCTGCAGGGATCAACATCAGACTTCCAAGCTCTGGGGCTGCAAGACGACTCAAACTCAACGCCTTCTGAATCATGGACTACAAACGCAGCACTGCCTGCCAGCCGTAGTTTTCGATAATCCCGGGAACCAGCAGGAATGCAAGCCTGCACAGTGCCAGGGAGCTTCTGAAGGTCTGGAAACTGGAGGTTTTGGCTCATAAGTCCTATACAGAAACAGTTCCCAGCAGTCACATTCAAGAGAATGGGTCTGAGTCTGGGACTCCTATCGTCCTATCAGTCATCTTACAATTTCAAACCGCGGCAGTGTGGTCACAGGCACCCAAACCCCAACACATCTTGCATCCGGCAACCCGGCTCCACCGTAGGACGCAGCTGTCACGAGTCCAACCGCGAAGGACTGCCTTGACTGCTGGCTTTCAGGAAAGGCGATTACAAGTGGGAATTGGTAGCTGCAGGTGTCGCTGCATCAGAAGAGTTCGGTTCGGACCATTCATGCATGGTATCACAGCATGCTAGTTACCAGTTCATCTTAACTAAGTGTCGGCCTCCTCGGCCTGCCATGTCATCATCACCAGCATAACTGCCATCCGTCGGCATCACTCCCCATTGATATCAAGCTCCTTGCATACCACATCATGCTTATGCTTCTCACCCTACCATCCCATCACCATCACCCCAACCACCGCCACCGCTGCTACTGCTGTCGCGATCTCGATCCCGCTCTGCTGGGCCCTTGCTTTGCTTAAGACGAGAACCCAAGCTGAACAACGGGAGCCAAACAAACTTGTCAACCGGCTCATGGCCGAAGAATGCAACTGCAGAACTCCAGAGCCGCGCGGCATCGTCCCATGAAGCTGCAAATCCCGGCATCCTCACTAGCTTGCACCCCAAGCGCACGAAGAAACAGTCCGATATTACCAACGCCTTCGGAAGGGACGGGACACTGGCTTCGAGGAACCAGCCGGGCTATCGCTGCATGCACAGCTGGAAAAGCAACTCCTGTGCGACTGTTCGCTTCAAGGAGTCTCCTTATGGCTTGGAATCTGGAGGGGAGCCTCAACGCACGTCGCGGACTTAGGAGTGACATCTTGACTCCCAAGTTTGCAGCTCGCGCTCTACATACGAAGATGCAAACCAGATTGACCATCAAGATCTTTCGATTCTTCAAACGAGAGCAGGGGTTGTGGTTTAGAGTTAGGTTGCCCAGGTTGCACTGCACCGTGTTCGAAGTGCTTCCTACTCGTGTCATGGAAAGGTTGAGACAAGATTTTACGATGTTCCAGGTTCTATGCGTAAAGGGAATCTAAAGTCCGAAATGCACAAATACATGAAGCCTCAGCCACACTGCAAATGCGACGGTGACCGGGCTCCAGGCTAAGTACGGTCCTTCGCCCAAGCCTAAAGCTAGCCGCACGGCAAGCAGAGGACCTGTGGCCAAGGGCACTGTAACCCACACGTCGGACAGACTGTCGGATTGGCCTGCATGCTGGTCGAGGCATGGCCAACTTCACACATTCTTGCACGATCCAGAGGTAGAGTCGGTAGAGTAGCTTGGATTTCCAGAGTGATGCAACAGACACGGACTGGCAAAATTGCAACTATGAGCCGCGCTTCCCCGTGCCCGAGAACACTCACGTGTGCCTACAGGTAGGCTCTGTCCGACCAAATCTACCGTTGTAAGACACACGGTCATCCACGATTTTACATGTCCAACGCAACATGAGGTCTTGTCTTGGCCAAACTGCAGGACGTAAATTTCCTTCTGTCTCGCCCATGCGAACCTCTGTGTACCAGCCCGATGAATGAATCAAAAGCTCCGCAACACACTAAACCTGACACCCTACACCATAAACTGAGAAGATCCAAAGCACTCGGGGCACCTGCACCTGCAGCGGCCGCCAGCGGCGTCAGCGCAGTGGCCAAAGACCAAGTGCTTAGCCCTCGGAAGGCAAGGCTGTCGGTTGCTCGCCGGGGTGCTAGGTGGCCTTTCGGAGTGTGAGCACTTCTTCTTCGTGGATCGGAAGCCACGACGGTGTGAATATGACGAACATGCCACAGCCTTGCAGTGGATACAAGCTGTGCGGCGGTTTCGACATCGGTCGCCCCCCCGATGCTGAGACGGGACACAGTGTTCGCAGTATCTGTCTATCTACCTATCCTTCTATCTATCGATCTATCTTTCTATCTATCTTATATTATCCTATCTAATTGACTAACTATTTATCTATCTATCTATCTATCTATCTAACTATTTATCTATGCATATATCTATCTGTCTATCTGTCACTCTGTCTGTCTTTTGTCTGTCTATCTGTCTCTGTGTCTTATCTGTCTGTCTACCTATCTATCTATCTGACTATATATCTGCCAATCTTTCTAACGTATACCCATCTATCCACCTACCTGTCTCCCGGCTTAAACGTTTCTATCTCTCTGGCCATCTATACCTGTATAGACACATACACATATACATACACATGCAGATACCTCGCATACACAAACACGTACACATGCACACGTACATGTACCTGTACATATACATACACATATACATATAACTATACGTAAGCATGTACATTACATATGCATATACATATGCATGTTATGTGCTTATAAACGTATACTTATGAGCATACATTTACATATACATATACATATATATATACATATAGACACATGCCTACACATACACAACAGATACTTATACGTATACCTACACACATATAATGAGTATATGTAAAAGGACATGTGTGCGTGAGAGCGGTGAGAGAGCTTAAGAATTATATGTAGGTATGTGTGTGAATATATATATATATATATATGTTGCTTATTTATTTATATTTATACATTTATATTCAGAGTTTTCTTTTTAGACATAGATGTAACCTTTGGCTCTCTCGCAGTTTATCCCTTCTGGTTCTCGTGCGTCTCTTGCTTATCTGCTGCTGCAAAAATCTCACCATAAAACACGCTGCCCGTTGCTGCATGCACACTGCTCATCCAAGCCTGCACCTGGCCTCACATCGTCCAGCCTAATGCTATGCCTGGTCCACAAGCCCCGAACATGGCTCCATGGCAGGTCCTGCAGCCAGCACCCATTTCGTTCCCAGGACATCGGCGAGGCGTCCCCCGAGCAGCTGTGTGGCCGCGTAACCTCCGATTCCGAATCATGTAGGAGTTTGGGCTATGTCTACATGTCAAAAGCCTGAAGCTTCATGCCCGAGCCACCTCCGAAGAAGGCGGAAAGGACGGTGCCTTCGAAGGCCTGAAGGCGAGCTTTAGTGTGTCGCAGGTGGTGATGAGGCACAGTCTTGACTGCTGAAAGCCTCACAGTTGTGGCTGCTGATAGCGCTGGGTTATGTTGACATCACTCTTCTCCATCACTACGTGTATGTCCATTCTTTTCAATACGTGTCGCCTCTCCTTTGCTTGTCACAGTCTCTGTGCTTGCGTTGTTAGAACAGCTCACGTTAGAAAGAACAGAGGGCTAGAGTAGCTTACACCTTGTTGAAGAAGTGGCTAGTCTTGGGACCATTGATGGAAATCGTTAATTCGGCAAGTTCTCATGTTGCTTCTAATTGCGAACTATGGGATCTACTAGAGTCTCGATTCAGTCTAGACACCGCAGGAGCCGATACAATTCGGGCCAAAGCCCTGCAACGCTTCGAAGGCTCTCTTGAGACACCATTATGACAACACTATTTGTATGGATGTTCGACCCTGGACCTGGAATTTAGGCTTTTGGATTTAGGGGTCAGACACTGCTCGGATGGCTTCTGGTCTTCAGATGCAGAGCCAACGCGCTGAGGATGCAGTGACTTCCCGTGCAGAACATCAGTCCCTCACGACCACAAAAGAGTTTTTGGAAACTTCCTGCCTTATCCCATTGAAAGTCTTTGGCCATACCGATGATGGCAATGGAGATATTGGACCTGTCCTGGGGCTTGACTGTGCTGGGGCAAGGTTTTCGAGGAAACGGTCCGAGTTACTGAAACAACCGTGAAGCGACGGCAAAACGGAAAGAGTCGTAGCTCGTGCCTCACAACCTCACCGACCCTGTAAATCCAGAAGACCTTGCTTCGTCTGCGACTTTCAAACTGAGTAGAATGTAGTGCCAGGCGACTCGGCTTCATTCTCAACTCTCGGCAGACAGGGGCACGGTGTCGAAACGCAAAGCAATCAAGTCTACTCCTCCTGCAGATCATGTTACACAAAAAGACACGCTGGAATTCCATTGAACATTGAAGATCTGCGGCTGGGCGTCTGCATAGCTGATCATGATGCCCAGGGCGCCTGGGCTCGGTAGCACCAGGGGCTCCAGGGTCAGACTGAAGGGGGGGGTTTCCAAAAATAGGGGACCCTACTATCGTACCCTTAATGGTAGGATCCTTATTATGAGGACCCCAAAATAAGGTACCCTAATTTTCGGCAAGTCCCAAGTGACTACGAGGGCACGCTTCCTGCTTCTGAGCCAAGGCACAGAGGAAGACGACCGCCTCCCAGCCATCTTGACCGGGATCCGTGCGTACCTGCGGTTTAGGGTTTAGGCTTTAGGGTTTAGGGTTTAGGGGGAGTCGCGACGAAGATGACGAGCAAAACAACGTGAAAACATCAAGGCCTCGGAGCACAGACCTGGATCTCAAGACAAGTCTTTGAAGGCCCAACCCCTTTCAGTTCTGTGATCCCAAGCATGATATAGTATAACTTAGCTACAAGCTCTTATCTATATATGTATATATACTTATGTACTTGCTAATAAAAATATGCATGCATACATATATATATATTATATTGTTATATTTCGTTGTATATATTTATCTATTCATCGATCTATCTAGTTGTATGTACTTAGGTCTCAGGTATTCAGTTTATACTATGCTTGTGTATGTTTATGCTTATTAACCTATGTTCTATGAAAGAAAAAACTAAAAGCACATATCTTATGAGCAAAAGCCTCTGCGTCTGACGGCGCGAACTGGCGGCACGAGAGCCTGAACACAGAGACCGCAAGCAATGAGGGAACCCCCCGTTTTGGTCCGAGCGCTTCTGGGGCTCTGAGGAGGTCTACAAGGTTTACTATGAGGGTTACTATTCCTATTATGACTATTATTGTTGCTGTTGTTGTTGTTATATTATTATAAGGGTCTGCTATAGGAGCGAGAATAAATAGAATAGGGTCTGGGGCCAAGTTATAAGTAGAATAAGGAACCCTAAGGAATGGTAGTGGTCATCATTCTCGCTTCTATAGTACTCCTGTCCTAGTCCTATTCGTCATCATCATGATCATCATCATTTGGGGTTTAGGAATTAGGGTATCGGGTTTAGGGATCATCATCATCATCATCATCAGGAGAGGAGTGGCGTCCTGCTATTGCCGAAGCGTCCGCGATGTAGGAGCACTATCTTTCACGCGATGCTCAGCCCACAAGGCATGGATGTGGGAACTTCTAAAGCTGGATATGGAAACTCGAATCCCAAAACCGAAGCCCTGAAGCAAAGCAGTAGTGCATCCCAAACCCATTCTTAACAACTGTGAAGCTTTCAGCTTCCCCGCACGACGGAACCTCCAGCCAAGCACAAACTGCTGAATGCCTACGACCCTGCAAAGTATCCGGTCTGGAAGCTGGGGTTGCACTTGAGGACCTCTGCGCATCGTCAATACAGCTGCTTGCAGGCGTAAGAAACTAATTCACTTGCACTGCCACAAATCACAAAGTAAGCAGAAGTACCCCCGCAGCAGCGGCAGAAGTGGTCGTGGTCGTGGGCGTGGTCGGGGGTCGTCGTCGTCGACGTAGCGTTTGCGGTACTAACAGCAACAATTCCAACAATGATCACTTTAGCACTATGCTCGTGCAAATCGCAGAAATTTCAACAAGCCCCATCCAGCCTTTTTCTTTCGGGCTCACTGCTGGCAGACGACGAAGGCGATGGCAAAGGCGCCGGCGCGAAGGCGTCCTCGCAGGAATAGCCGCTATGGTGGAGGGCTTTGGCATTGCCCGCACTATGAAGGGTTTTCAAGTATTCCCTAATGGCTTAATACCTAGTCGATCTCCTCAATGATTGAAGGGCTGGGCCCGCTGCTGGCTGCAGCAAACAGTGACCAATGTACCGACTCTCTGCTTCGGTCGTTAGGAGCCATGATGAGCCATGCCTCGGATCCGAAAGTCGAAAACCCGAGAATCAGAGGACTTTAAGATGTCTGTTTGTGGGATCTTGCTCCTGAGACTTACATGGCCAATGAGAGTTCACTAGGTGGAGTTTCCTAGTGATAATTGCGGAAAGTGTGACCAGTTTCTTCGACGGGGCATCGATGCTTCAGCACTTGCGACGACGACTTGCCTGCATACCATCGGACAAAACTGCTGTTAGCGCTTGGCATTTGGTCTCTGCTTTCGATGATACCCGCAGGCCCTAGTGAACGAACAGCTCAGGAGCTTTGGCAGATCCATTGCATGCGACTACAAGACTCTGCATACCTCCCTTTCTCAAGACTAAACTTTGCGTGCCTGCAGGAGGTGTACAAAGCAGGTCGCGCAAACCTGATGCTTTCCACTGCCGGATCTTCGGGCTGAGGCTTCTTATCTTGTTAGTATGCCTAATCTACGACGACGACGACTGCTGCTACCCCCGCTACCACCAACCACCACAACAACAACCACCATGACTACAAAACATACGGTTCTCAACTACGAAATTTTGCGGCCTGACGACTCCTGCTTGTAAGAAAAGACCACTGATGTCACCAAGGGCCTGCTTACTATTCACTGTGCCATTATTGCTGCTACCGCTGCTACTTGTTCGTCCTCTTCACCCTACTCCTACTACGCTCCTGCTCCTACTCCCGCTCCAGGTGCTCCGCCTCCTCCTGCTCCTCCTCCTACTGCTGCTGCGAGTGCTAGTATTGCTAGTAGAGATCCAGAAGTGCGAGTACTATTTATTCATAGTACTACTGAGTATACGAGTAGTGCTTGCAGTAGCAGTAGCAGCAACTATACTACAGTTGAGCCGTGGAGCAAAGGCTGCAAGGCGGCGCAGCAGGCGCCGGTGCAAGGGCGACACGAGACGAAGCCGGGACATTGAGAGCTTGAGGGGGGAGGGGGATTGTCGAAAGGAAAAAGAGACTGCAAGAAAGCAGAGTATGCCTGGGAGTTGGGATTAAGCATTAGGATCTTGCCTGCACGACAGTGGAGCATACCGAGTATACAGTAAAGTTGTGCTCGAGACTTCAAGCTGAGTGCCTTGCAAATTAGGCTTGAGGTTTTAGACCAGTGCGTTGCAAGCAGCAGAGGCTCCTGAAAAGGCTACGAATGATGTCCACGGTTCAGTGGGGGCTTTGGGTTCAGGGTACGAGGTTTTTGGGTGGATGAGGATCTAAGCACCTCGACATTGCGTGTACGAAAGATGTCAAAAAAACACCCCGACGAGAACAGTAGAGGTCAAGGACAAATCATTGAAGTATGGTAATAACTACACGGAAGATAACCTGGCCTTTCAGGGTCTGACTAGCTGGAAGCAAGCACAAGGGCCTCCACACGCCAGGAGTACTGCACGCCATCCTCCGCCAGAATGTGACACGTTTTGTCTTCTCAACTTCTGGCATCTAAGGGGTGCTGGACTCACCTGGGGGCATCGGTTCAGGTTTGAGGGGCGCACCAGTTCACATCAGCTTGGGGTCAGACTTCAGGGCAGTGGGCTTCGAGTTTAAAGCTCACATCTTCCATCAAGCATGCAGCCATCAGCCTGACCTGTTCCCTGGAACCCGACGCCCTCGGCTCGTAGAAGTCCTCACTAGTCACTGGTCGGAGCTCGAGGCCGAAGAGTCCAAACCCGTGTTGGTGATCGGACAATAACGAGGTGCCCCACTCAGAAAAGAACAGAAGACATACTGAAAGTTACTAACTAGCAACAGTTGTGACAGCTTTACAAGAGAGCTGGCAACTCGTATACTCGTATCTGGAAAATACCTGCTTCTTGGACCGTGCTTCCGACCCTCCTCCCCACGTACCCTTTTCCCCTTTACGCAGACTTCTTCCCGTCTGGTGGAGCTTTCGCTCCGGCCCTCGCGTAGAGAGCCATAGAGACCACCTCGGACAGGCTGCAGGTTTGGCCTCGGGGTTTTGTGCCACTTGATCCCTAATTCAAGCTGTCAAGATCAAGCCAATCGTGCGGCAACGTCATCCCGGAGTATGCAATGAATCAACTCACAGATAGTTGCACTCTCTCATCTCCAATGCAGGGTGTCGAGGAAGAGTAGATTTGTGATACTGCCGGCCCTCGGAAACCAGCAAGGAACTCACCAACTTGACCTTTCATTCGTGTTTGCTCGCATGGCGCGAATTTGACTCAATGCTACAAAAGAAGGGGACTACCATGTGGACAACTCGAAAAAAGACCAACGAACCAGGAGGGACACGATGAAACAAAGCGTCGGGATCCGAAACCTAAACCCAGAAGAGCCAGCTGCAGAGGGCTAAGACGTTGAGGCCGTTGCCGAGATCAGGGCGCCCAGGTGAAACCTAGGCTTCACCACCGGTTTTGAAGTTGAAATGTGCTGGAACTTTGACTTAAGACGAACTTGAGCGGTCGGCACTCATCTCCCGTGCCAAGGGATCAGGAGGACGGTAAAGCAACGGAAGAATCGAGACCGATCCTGCCACCTTGATCCCCGTTTGAAGCCCAAGATGCTGCCACGGAGGTTGTTGCCTCACCGACCCGCAGATGGATACTTTGGCTTTGCTCTGTTGGTGAAATCTTTCTTTCCAGGACAGTAGGAGTAGCCCCCGAGTGGACTCCTTCAACCACAGGTGCAGGTTACAAAACTCGACTAAACCTTCCTTTTGTCGCACTGACGCCCACAACTGTACAAGAAGACGGTGAACGTGCAACATCTTGGACATGCCGCAACCCTGCCTCAACACCACAGAGGTCATCCCTGCAGTAACAAAGATCGACGCACTGAAGGCATAGTTCTTAGCCTCAGCTGTTGGAAGGATTTGGGCCGGCATGCGTTGCCTGCATTGGCTCATCTTGGAGCTGAACTCTGGGGTGGGAATTTTCTGCACACGCACATCGAGTTTGCGAAGAGGTTTGTGGCAACCTGTCGGAGTTCATTGCAAAAAATGGCTCAGCTCCAAATATCGGTAACCATAGCACTCCTTCGGGGACAACGGTGATCCCTAACCGAAAACCCACATAATTTGAGGTGAGGGGCGATACTATCGATCTGCCGCATGAGCAGGGAGATGAGTATTCCGTTGATGGCTTCGTTGAAGAGGGCTGCAATGTCGGACCTAGATGGCATCAGCATGACCATCATTTCAGCATGACCGTAGTAATAGCAGAAGCAGCAGCAGCAGGCAGGACGAGGAGGAGGAGGAGGAGGTGGAGGGGGACTACTGATGCCGCCGCTGCTGCTGCTGCTGCTGCTGCTGCTGGTGCTGCTACTCCTTTTACTGCTGCTGCAGCTCCGTCGGGTGCAGCTGCTACTACCGCGCCTCCTCCTCCTCCTCGTAGCAATGATAACGCGAATAACAGTACTGATACTGGCACTGGCACTAGTAGCAGAGACAGCACTGACTTTGTAACAGAAGCAGTCGCGGTGCTGGCGGAGTCATGGTAATGGCGACACTGGTGGAAAAGCAGTATGCATACACAGGACAGCAACAATGCCCGCAAACAAGAACTGCGATGATCATGCAATTGGAGCAGCAATACTGACACTGCTCATCACACAAAAAGTGGAAGGGTGTTTTACAATTTTACAACCTCTCTACTTTTGCCAGACTTGCACTGCATGCACGAGGACGGGGACTGATCTCTGGCAAGCCATGGCACTCTGTTCACACTAACCTTGTAGGGTCCTGATTCCATCACATGGACAGGGCAACTACCTCTGCAAATCCTCAGCTGAAGCGTAGGTAGAGTCCAAAGATCCCACATCATGTTGCATTGTAGCTGTGGTCTTAAATTATATGTATAATATATATGTATATATACATATATATATATACACACATATATATATGTATATATATATACATAACATATATATATATATAATTATATATATATATACACATATATACATATGTATGTGTATATCTTTAGACATCTATGTTCATGTATACAGGTTTCTTGTAACATACAAAGGCATTCACCCGAGCGGCCAGTGGAGCGCATCGAGGCGGGGGGGCTCGGACGGCCAGATCAGGAGGCCGGAGCCCGTCAGCGCCAGGCTGTGGAGGGCGAGGTGCCTTGGGCTTAGGGTTTAGGGCTTCGGTGTTTCGGGTTAAGGGTTTGGGGTTTAGGGGTTTAGGGGTTTAGGCGTTTAGGGGTTTAGGGTTTAGGGTTCCGGTGTTACGGGTTTAGGGTTTGACGGCTCAGGGTTCGCATTGAGGCTTGCGTTTGGACCCTTCCAGAACAGCCTGGTTTTCTGCAAAAGACTTTAACAAAATTCACAGCCAACCCTCGGCTTGGGACTGATACGTTTCATCCCGACCTTGGGTTCTTTTCGGCCATATGAAAACTTCCTGGCCTCCACATGCTGCAGGTTTTCTTGGCGGAGCTGGGGATAAGGAGGTTGGGCATTCGATGGTCTTGAGTTTCAAATTTCGACCTTGGCTTGGGCCTCCCTTAGGCCTAGGCACTGTGTGGTTGTGGGCTCGCGGGGACCATTCAAGATGGGTTGCGATGGTAGTGCTCCCACGTGCTGTTCTTTACTATGACTCTCTTCCGCCCGCAGTCCGAAGCTTGTGGACAGCAGCCCGTGCATGCATGCGGAGCCGGTGAAGCACAAGTAGTCACAGGGACGAACAACGGCAACACACTCCAGAAACTCGGGAGCTTAGGCTTCGAGCTTCAAGGGCTACTACACCCATCTACACCCGCTACCCTATGTCACGACCCACCCCCTGAATGTGTTGATACCTGGACAGAGAGGGCACAGATTGGTAGCAAAGATGGTGAAGTCTGCACTGGTGCGCATCTTCCTGGCAAAGCTGGAGGCTCAAGAGCCGGGAGAGCGGCAATGACAGTTGAAGTCTTGCTTCGGTCTTGGCAAGCTGAAAGATGAAACTTGGCTCACACGTAGCGGCCTTACTTGTGTGATAACCTAATCTGACGCAGCGACAAACAACGGAGACGTGAGGAAAGCAGTAACTCATTCAGGTCTGCGTTGGAAGTGTTTTGATCTTCCAGATCGCAATACGTTCTGACAATGCAGTGCACTTTCGGAGCACTTTCGGGGCATGGGGAATACAATCGCCACGGCTTGAACAGGGAATGCAAAGGCCGAGCTTGGCTTCTCGTGTCATGCCATACACACGAGTACTTTGCAAAAGCTTCTGTGATGACAGGTGACATTACAAGCCCCATGCAACTGTTGTAGTAGTTCCTTTCTGGGATCTGCCGGTCGTTGCACGTCCTCTATTGTCATGTTTTTCCGCAAGGGACAAAATGCGTCAATGTGCACGCTGACAGTGTAGCCAAGCTGCAAAGCCATCTCAGTGCTAACGGCCCCCAGCCTCAACACTGTCTATAGAACTTGGGTAGCGGAAACTGTCTGGACCAGTAAAGCTATATAAAGCTATCCTTGCGTGTCCCAGCTCTCCTACAGGACGGGATGGCAACCTCACTGTTGGACAGCAAGCGCTTCCTGGCGGGGCTATCCTGTCGGAGGGTTTTCGTTCTGGCATACGGCACGAATGCGCACACATTATGCCGAGCACAACACCTCAACGCTTGCCCTGTGCTGAACATTTGATGTCACATAACACTCGCGGCTATCACTCTGCCTCACATTACATCAACCAGCATGATCAGCTGGGCAGCGCCGACAGCGCAGAGTTGATCACCATGAGCACGATGCCCAAGACTGGGGCCTTTCTAGGGCTGGAGAAGTATGATGTCATCGGTCTGAAATACAGGCATGCTGGCAAAAAGGTCCAACTACTCCGAACTGACCTCTTCCACACTGAATGCGGACACATGCACAAGGAGAAACACCCTTAGTTACGGCAGTCTAAGTACAGGCCACCTGTCGTTGTCCTGCAGCCAGGCGACAGGAATGACCGCACAATTGATAATTTTCATTTGTTTACAGACGATGACAGCGACGATAACAGAGACGATGATGATAGTCGTAGGAGCGACGAGTGGCCCTTGCCAACTTTCTGTACTTCCGCAGACTCGGTTCAAACAAACCCCGAAGGAACCCCCCCGTCCCCCAGCTGTGAGAGCCACGAAGCGGCCTGAGGAATCTCTTGACCATCTTGGAGGGTACGCCCTTGGCCGCCCAGCGCCACACCTGAAGGAGTCTCTGAAGAATTTGAGCTGGCTTTCGGGGTTTCGGCTCAGAACCAAGCCTTACCCGCGAGACCTTGGAGGACTCTTCAGAACGTGATGCTGTAGTGCAGCCCCGTGGCCTACGGTGAGCAGCACGAGGGCGAACCACTGGATCGGCTGGAGCCTCCTACGAATGACATAGGGATCGACGACCCACAGCATCTCTGCAACAATGCATGCTGCGGTTTGTGCTTCTATGCAGTCCGCTAACCGCAGGCGGATGCAACAAGAGGCTCCTCTGCATGAGAAGCCAAGAAGCCGCAGCCGTAAAGAGTATCCTTAGCGAGGACTGTTACATTCGGGAACTTCATGTAGGCGTTTCTCTTGAAACCTGCCATGCTCCTACTACTGCTGCTCCTCGTGTGCTCTGACAGTTGCGGAGATACCTCATTTACAAGCCTCAGACTTGTTGCATGTAATTCTAGGCTTGAGAAGTGCCGGAACAAAAACGTAAGCCATTGAAGCACCTTTGGGCAAAAATCAATAACTCGCCTTTTCAGGCTTTTTTTGTGAGTGCCTACTACAAGGAAGCTGCAGCCTGGTGCGACCAGAGGAGCTTGATGGTGGCCAAGAGCTGGAGCATGGGGGGATTCCTCGGAAGATCCCAGTCTGAGCTCAATGGGTCTGAAGTTGGAACCTACAGGGGAGGAAAAGCTGTGGTTTCAAGCCTGGTCAGGCTGAAGACGAAACGGAAACCGACAAAGAAAAGCCTGTGGCGAGGGACAGCATCCGAGCAGCGCTGACAGTTAGCACCTGAGCTGCAGTGAAGTAGGCAGCAACTCTGATGTGAGTGCAACTACGGCAGAACCGCAAACGTTATGAAACACCATTCCCCCTGGAGCTGAAGACCAACGCGATGTGGCATGGGCGCAAGTGGCATCGAATAGCAAAGAGGACTTTGCCGCATCCTCCAGAATCCTTGAGGAACGGCTTCTAGCATTCTACGTCTTATCTTTGGAATTCCGTATACTGACTGAGCCCAGGAACATTCATCAGAAGGTAGACTGCAGCTGGGATGGCGAAGCTGGCCTGACGAAGGCAGGACTTGCAAGAAGGGGGTAGTTGTAACGAAACGGAGTATGTAGTGAGAGCTGATGTACTCTGTCGCACCGCAAATGCTGCATGAGTCCCCACATCCACGCGATGATAAGCAACCAATTCCCGAAATCCTGAATCCGAAATATCCCAGATCCATTACCCCCAAGAATTGGCCGGGAAGCTGTGTGCTTCCAGCCGTTCCACACCACGGCGGACAAACCGAATCTTGGAGCGTCGGAGCTGGGCTTTCACTGCTTCGTCCATGCGCGCCCAAGGCTGAGCACCCTGGAAAACTGCAAAGCGCAGTGTGGCGCCACAAATCCTCACACCCTGAGCCGACAAGAAGCTCCGGTACCCCGAAATCCCCACAGATCCCTGAAAGGGGGCTGAAACCCCGTGAAAAACCCTCCCATCCCTCCCCTGGCCGAGCAGCGCCCTCCGGAGAAGCAGCGCCACAACACACATCGCCACCTTCAGAGCCTGCTTCACAGCCGCAGACAGACACACACCCCGAGACTAGTGACTAGGTATTTCAATGTAAAAAAGTGTGTCGACTGAGTAAGCGAGTCTGAGTGCCTTCCATTCGGGGTAAGACGCAGAGTCTGTCCGGACACCAGTCTGATTTGTTCCGTCTTGCCCGCAGCATATACACACCCGAACAAGATTCTCCCTGAAAGCTTTATGGAGGCCTCCCCGCCCATTTGGAAGAAAGCCGGCGGCAGGGCAACCACCTCAAAAGCTCACGACAATGGTGGGTTCGACAGTTTGGGCCCTTCTTGCCTATTTCGGCCAACGAAGCCCAGAGGACTGAGACAACTTCCATCCAGAGTCCCACAACATCCCACAACCTTGCACCCAGAGTCAGCTTTGAGTCACGCGATGGCTAGTGGAGCACACCGCCATAATGTGCCCAAGCCACATCTGTCTTCCGGACCAAGCTGCTCCCTGTGAGGTGCAGCATCAGGGGCTTCCTGAGGACAGGCGGCTATGCCCAGGAGGAGATGTTCCAACGGTCTACAGACACTAGAACAGAAGCAGCAGTTCGCAGCAGCTAGAGAAACCAGCACCTCTGATTCGCATACCGAAGGGTGGTCCAGCCAACTTCGAAATGTCCAGAAACCCTGAGACCCTGATGCGATGCGAGCGTCATTGCCATCATCACCTCACACGGCACCCCGGGGGTTTGCAATCTACGTTGGCTCACGTCAACCCTAGGCGATAGATGCCGCAGGGATGTCTCAGGCCAACGGCCTGACCGTCGAAAGCGACATGCAGTCGGGCCGCAACTGATACGACGAAAACGGCACAAACCTGGAGGCGCCATGCCATGCTGCCAAACTTAGCAGGCCTGGAAGCGACTATACCTGGCTGGCTGCAGAATGCTTCTGCCCGGCTCCATCAATGCTTCCTTCTCTACATGGAGGCCGCGTTGAACCTGAGAATCATAATGCTACACGGGATTCCTGATTCTGTCTGCTGAGCCTCCTTCTCATGTTCTAACTGAAACTGAAGCCAAATGGCTACGTCGACATGTTCAGCATCATGTCATGCCCCGCAAGACAATCATGAAACTTACTGCGCCGGGCCAATAGTTCGACCCACTAGCTGCAACAACAAAATTGACCCCTGCCCCCACCCTCT